GTGTTGAAGACACTTGCTTCAGACACGTCCCTGGTGGCAGTGGCCTCTACCATATTCCAAATTATGAACTTCTCAGTCGCCTTGTTTGGGGCACGCAGGAGGCACAGTTCATGCAGCCAATAGGCTGCATGTGGCTGTGATCCTTTTTAGCACAACTATTGTTTCTCCTTTTCTTTGTCATCTTGGAACTAAGGTCTCAGGAGAGTGCCCTAGTTTTGTTTTGTTTTTTGTTTTTTTTTTTTAAATTTCCATTTGGAAATCATTTTATCGACAGACAAGAGCAAACTCTGCAAAGGGCTGCTAGGGACAAACATGGGCCCTCAGGATGGAGCACAAGGAGCAGCTTCATGGTAACCTTAATTATTTAAAGAGAGTAAGAGGAGGAATGTTGGCATCTCCCCCTCTGCCTGTGGATAGGACTCAGAGGGCTGCACAGTGGAGACCCTCACTTACAGGAGCATCCTCTGCAAGCTAGGAGTCACAGGGGGTCATCAGGAGAACGGTGGCCCTGGTGGTGATCCTGGTTGCCCACGGTGTCTGGTTGCAGTCTTGAGCCCCAGACGCTGGTATGGGCAGGTGCAGGCATCTGCAGGTCAAAGTTGGTGGCAGGCTGGTTCTAGGTGTCCGCATTTTTCTTGGATGTCATGGGTTTCTCTGGGTGTCAGGTTTGACTCCAAGTCCTGGGCTTGAGTGTTCTGTTCTGTGGATCCAGATCTTAGGTTGTTCCAGGATAGAAGGCCTTCAGGACCAAACAACAGCTCAGAATCGAGTTTCAGGGCATCTGCAGAGAGATAATGCTGCTCCATTGCATAGCTGTCCCACGGGACCACACAGAGTATCTGTGCCCTAGTTCTTGAAGAGTTATTTTGAACTCTAATCTTGAAATTCAGAAACTAAAGCTAGTATGCCTAGGAGCTATGGGAAAAAATCACAAAGAGCAGTTTTTTTTCAAAAATTCTACAACACTAGGATTATAGTACCATACACAGGTAGAAAGTACAAAAAAGAGGGGGAGGGAGTAAACACGTTCCTGTTTTTCTTACAAGTGTAAGACATCTTCGATGACTGCTGGGAGCACTGCATGTACTTGTGTTCAGAGTTATTACGCGGGGGCCAAGGATCCACAGGGAACAATGGAGGCTCAGCAGCAGAATTCTTGCCTTTAGTTCCCGAGCAACGCACCGCATGCTGAACCACAGTTCACCTGTTAGCAGAGGCTTGCATGTTGCTGTGATGCTGAATAGGTTTCAGTGGGACCTTCTATACCAAGACAGGCGAGGAAGATGAGCACTGGCCTCCCAGGCCGTTTACAGCCTCAGAAAACTCACCGGAGGTTCAGCTAGAAGTTAGTTCCAACCTGATGGCATTGAGTTTTGAGAGTTATATTTAGTCTTAGAACCTCATCCTTTCATTTTTGTTTTAGAACATTATGTTGTATTTTTTCCAGTTGAATGTGTTAATTGTATTAATAGATAAAACCCACACTTTCAGTGGTTTAACTCAACGAGAATTTGTCATGCTGATGTCCCCATCTTAGATGATTGTTCTTCTTTGGACCAGCCTTTCTTCCATATGGACATTTATAGACCCAGGTTCCTTCTCTTGAATGACTCAGCTCTCATTAAGCTCCTCAGAGTTCTCTCCACACACAGCTAGCTAACCATTTGGTCTGTAAGTGGCATGTTTCATTTTTATTCACTTTCTGTTGACAGGTAGTTGTTGTTACTATAATGTGCCATCAAGTTGACTCCAAATCATAGTGACATTATGCACAACAGCTTTGAACATTGCCCTACCCAGGGCCAATATCATTGCCTCTAACACACCCTATTACCCCCTTTACTGTGTCAATCCATCTCATCTGGAGTCTCCCACTCCTTTGCTGTCCCTCCACCTTTCCAAGCATGATGTCCTTTTCCAAGGACCATTCCCTCCTGGCCACATGCCCAAAGTATGTCAGATGAAGCTTAAAAATCCTCACCTCCAAGAAGGAACTTGGTTTCACGCTTTCCAAGACAGACCTGTTTTTTCTCTTGGCAGTTCATGGAATGGTATGTTCTTCTGCAGCACCACAACTCAAAGGCATCTGTTCGCCTTCTATCATCCCTAGTCATTGTCCAGCTTTCTGACACATAGCAAGTAATTGCAACGGCCATGGCCTAGATCAGGTGCACCTTAGTCTCCAGACTGACCCTGCTGCTCTCCAGCACTCTGGAAAGGTCCTTGACAGCAGATTTTAGCCCCTCCCAAATCCAATCACAGTGACTCATTTACCCCATTTTTGTTGGCCAGCCAGTCAGCCATCTCTGCTACTGTATGACAGAACTCTGGAAAGTGCAACATATTTGCTCATAACTACCATTGATAGGTTGGTGGTTTGAATGTCCACAGCAGTGCCATGGAAGAAAGGCCTGGTGATCTGCTTCTGTACAAATTGTAGCCAAGGACATTTTCTGGAGTGGTTCTACTCTATAACACATGGCATCTCCATGTATGGGAATGACTCAATGACAATGGTGGTGTTGTTTTTGTTGGTTTTGGGTTTTTTTCATTTTTGGTATATATATTTTCATTGTTCAAATTGTTTAATAAAAAAGTCCAGAGGCTGGCATTTTAGGAATGCCAGACTTGGGGCTGTTAGGTCACAGTTTTATTATTTTCTTCAAAATGAGGTAACTTTCAATCTGTTTAATAACTCAGGTTGGTCATACTTGATTATTCCCAAACTCAGGACTCAAATGGTACTAAAGTGGGGGTGCCTCTTATCTCCCAGTCCTCTGAAGGATCTCCAGAGGTCAAAGGCTTTCTTGTTCTTGGAGATGGACAATAAAGTGTGTCAGTAGCTTTAATTACAGTGACCCATAGTTTCTATCAGATCACTTGACTTTTTCCAGTTTTCCCATTTTGTCAGGGAATCAGGAATGAGTCATGGTGGTATAGCAGGTTACGTGTTAGACTGCTAACTGCAAGGTCAATGGTTTCAATCCACCAAATGATCCATGAGAGAAAGATGACTAGTCTGTAAAGATTTACTGCCTTGGAAACCCAATGAAGGGCCACGTTTCTTAGAGGCAAGGATGCTGCTGCTTCATCTCACATTTGTTGGGCATCTTATCAAGAGGGGCTAATCTTTCAAGAGAGACATGAAGGTTGGAAAAATAGAAGATCAACAAGACTCAAAGCAGATAGGTACAGTGCCTGCAACAATGGACTTAAACCACAGAGGATGGTGCAGGATCAGGCAGATTTGCCATCTGTCATACACAGACTTACTAGGAGTTGGAGTTGACTCGATGACTCCTAATAAAACCAACAATGACAAGAAGCCAAGCTAATACCTGAAAGTAAACATCCAAGACAAGGAACAGCAGAGAGAAAAGCTCTGATTCCTTCTCTGAGAATTAGTGTTCTGTCCTGTTCTGTTCTAGACGAACAATCTTTGGGTCCTGAATGGCCCTCTGACTTTAACCGCAATAGCAAGGAAATGAAGAAGAGGGCAATATTGCACCTACACTAGTCACTTCTGATTTTCCAGGCCCTTGATGACCACTTTCACAGCTCTCAGCTCTATTGGCAACCTCACCTTTCTCTTCGCTGGAGGAATTACAATTTTCCACTCGAGCCTCAGGATTGCACAAGAGCCAGGATCTTGCTATAAGCACTGAGCTTGGTGACGATGCAGTTTTCTTACCTGGCTTTAGAAGATGATTATTATGGGGGAGTTTTCCCTCATGTAGATGAGCACATGATGATAAGGTTAAGCTGACCCATACACAATTTCCTTGTAGGATGATGAAGAATGTATTATACTTTGTAATTATGTTTTCTTTTTCCTCATTAAGTGAAAAAAAGATCACCATGGTGACCTAGACTAGAATACCTGTGTCTTCAAAAAGCAACAGCAACTATTTCTGGGTCAATTGCTTCATAGTTTTAAATCCTTAAGCTTTAAAGCTCTCAGGAAGAATGTGGGGCCGTTTATAATCATGAAGACCGATTTTTTCACCAAGGTCTACTCGAGATCTCATTATAAATTACATTAAAGTTCTTATTGGTTATAATATTGTCAGCAAAGAGCTTGGATAACTTCACCAAGACTACTAGGGGTATAGCACAGGAAGGAGGATGAATATAATTAATTTCCCCCCTCCTTTTCTATAGTCAGGTGAATTAATATAGTTCCCAAAGAGCATTCCCTTCTGATTAAAATAGTATAAAATTTTCCATTCAAGTTTTCTATGAATAGAGGCAATTTGACTTGACATTAGGAAGACAGGATTTAGAAATCAAATGTTATCTACCTTTGATTTTCTGTGAATCAAGACTTGGGCTCTTGGGCCTTAATTTCTTCCACATTAAAATGGAATTAAATGCAGTCATTAATTTATTTTGGGAGTTTTAAAGAGAATTGTTTAAAGGTCACTCTTAAATGTACTATGTAACACATTAAAGGCAAAGAATTGAGGGAAGTTTTTTTAATTCTTTAGATATGACATAGACTGAGGTTTCATACAACTTATTCATTGCCATTGAGCCTGAGTCAACTCACAGACCACCTTCTATTTGTTTCTGGAAGATATAAATTGCCTCACAGGAGATTGTTCATTTTTCTCCCTAATTGGTGCTGGTGGATTTGAACCACCAGAGAAGCAGCATCTTTGGATTAGCAGGACTAGGCCTAGGCCAGCAGAGTTCCTTAGAATGATATTTAGGGCTCAGAATTCCAACTTGAAACCTGTCTTTTGGAAAAAAGCTACACTTCATTTCTGCTGCTGGCAATTTCTGAGAAGGAGAATGATTATTGACCAAGCTCTGAGATTTCAACCATGACCGAGTTCCACTTTGAAAGATTCATTTAAAATATAAGAATTGTTATGTTTTCATGTAAATTCTAATGTAATTTTTTAAGACTAAAATGAGATTTTAACCCCAAATGAAATATTGATGCCCTAGTCTGTTTTGTTAAAAAATAACCCATGACTTTACTTTTTTTCCTACAGACAAAACTGTGTGGAGTTTTATCCCTTATTTATGGTTACATTTTGGATGGCTGGGTGGTATTTCAACCAAGGTAATTTCAAAATACGGTCAACTCTGTTCTAATGACTATGATATTAGAACTAACATTGTACGGATATATATATATGTCTAGTGATTCTGTAAAGAAAAATAAGGAGCATGATTACCATGCTCCTCTAAAAAATCATCCAAATGAGACCAAATTTCCAACATTTACCCTAGACAAAAGATGAGAAGATAAAGGGGAACAAAGAAGCTAGATTAATGGAAAAGAATTGGTACCTTTGAATTGTAGCACTGGCAAAGAATATTGACTCTGCCATGGACAAAAGGACAAATCTATCTTGGAAGAGGCATAGCAGGAATGCTCCGTAGAAGAGAGGATGTTAAGACTTGATGTCACATCCTGTGGGCATGTTACCAGGTGGGCTCAGTCCCTGAAGAAGGACATCATGATTGGCAAAGTGGAAGGTTAATGTAAAAGAGGAAGGTCATTAAAGTGATTGACTCAGTGGTTGCAACAACAGGCTCAAACAAAGCAACAGTGATGTAGGTAGGACTGGACAGTGTTGTCACTATAAGTCATAACTGACTTAATGGCACCTAACAACAAGATAGGAAGAACATTCATGCTTTCCTTCTACTGAATGCAGAATGTCAAATTATATTTTGCACTTTTTTCAGATAATACTTCAATAAGCAGAAAATAGACAAATCTTTAGTGTGCCACTTGATGGGTTTTTGACAGGTGCATGTATCCATGAAACCAAATTCCCACCAAGAGACAGAAAATGATCATTACCAAGGAAGTTTGGTTGGGGCCTTCCTAGTAAATCCCATCCTTACTCCCTTCAAGACAAGAGAGAAATATTTTTCTGATTTCTTAATTGCTTAAGCTGGATTCTGAAGAGGAATGTGGCATCAGGATCGGAGGGAGACTAAGCCATAATCTGCACCATGCACTAACTTGAAGCACTTGTTGCAGAAGAACAAGGAATGCAGTATTCAATATGGATTGCATCTCAATGTCAAGAAAGCAAAGATTCTTAACACTGGACTGATTGGCAGCATCATGGTGGATGGAGAAAGGATTTAAATGGTCAACAACTTCATCTTACTTAGATCCACAATTAACACCCTTTGTACTACCAGTCAGGAAACAGGAGGTCTATTGCATTGACAAAATCGTCAGTGCGGGGCTTCTCCAAAATTACTGAGGAGTAATGGTGTCAGTTTTAGGATTAAGATGCATCTGATTCAGGCCATGGTCTTTATGATCACTTGCTGTGCATCTGAGAGCTAGACAATGAATAGAGATGACAGAAGAAGAATTGATGCCTTTGAGCTGTGGTGTTTGAGAAGAGTATTGAACATTCCACTGACGGTCAAAAGAATAAATATATCTTGATGAGGATGCAGCCAGACTGCTGGTTGAAGGCAAAGATGATGAAGCTTTGCCTCACATACTTCAGGTGTATTGCCAGGAGGCGCTATTCCTTGGAGAAGGACATGATGCTTGGAAAGGTTGTTGTTGTTGTTGTTATGTGCCGTCGAGTCCCTTGTGACTCATAGCAACCCTATGTACAACAGCCCTAAACTCCGCTCTGTCCTGTGCCAATCGCACTGTCTCTGACACTCCCATGGGAAAAGGAGATGAAGACTCTTAATCAGGTGAATTGACACAGTAATTGCCACAATGAACTGTAATGTGTCAGGATGTGTGAAGATAGCATAGGATAGGACAGGGTTCAGATCTGTTGTTCATAAGCTCACTATAAATTGTACTTGACTCAGTGGCACCTAACAACAAGAAGAACTTCAAATAATTGGAATTGTTGAGTATATGCACTTGTGTAATTAGGTAACTCTGGTGGCCTAGTGGTGAGAAACTATGCTACAATCTCAAAGACACACTGTCCAAATCCACCAGCTGTTCCACTGGAAAAGAATGGGCAATCTCATCCTTTGGAATTTACTGCCTCTGAAACCCTGCTGGAGGGTCAGCTACACATCTGTTCTGACTCAATAATATACAACTCTTGTGTAAATGTTTCATTCAACAAAATGTTTTCTGAGGTCCACCATGTTATTTCACATTGCAGACCACTAACACAGTTTTTGTTGCTGAATAGCAGACTGTACAGTTTGGTTATCCACTCTTCTGTTGATACACAGCTGAGCTGCTTTCAGTTTTTGGCTATTATGAATGCAGCTACAGTGAGCGTTCTCATAGGGAGATGTGTTTTCATTTCTCTTGTTTAAATACATAAGACCGGAATTGCAAAACAGCTATGAGAGATCATCTCACCCCAGTCAGAATAGCAAAATTTAACAGAACAGCAAGCAACAAATGCTGGCGAGGTTGTGGAGAAACTGGAACCCTTATTCACTGTTGGTGGGAGTGTAAAATGGTGCAACCACTGGGAAGGTGGTATGGCACTTTCTCAAAAAGTTGCAAATAGAGATACCATTTGATGCAGCAATTTCACTACTGGGAATATACCCCAAAGAGACCAAAACTGCCACCCAAGCAGATATATGCACACTCATATTTATCGTGGCTTTGTTCACAATAGCAAGGAGTTGGAAACAACCTAAGTGCCCATCAACAAACGAATGGATAGAGAAGATGTGGTATATTTACACAATGGAATGCTATGCTTCATTGAAAAATAAGGAACTCATGCAATATTATTCAAAATGTGTGACTCTGGAGGACATTTTGCTGCATGAAGTATCTCAGTCACAAAAGGACAAATACTGCATAATGCTACTGTTGTAAAACAGGACTGACATCAGGGTTGGGGGGAGACTGAGAAAGATGGGATAAATAATGAATACTGCATTGAAACAGATGAGGGAGAAAACTGTTTAACAGGAATATGTGATTAGGTATTTTTGTCATGACAGGAGTCCAGAGCGAAGGCTGGAGGGATTATAAAACAATGAAAGAATTTTCCTTTTACTTTTCCAAGAGGGGAGTGTGCTGGGGGAGGGTTGTGAGGGGAGAAAAGTGCAACAATTAATGAATGGAAATCCAAAGTCTCTGTAAATTTTCATTGAAATTAATAATAATTTTTTTTTAAAAAAAGACTGGAATTGCTAGGTCAAAGGTAAATATCCATTTAAATTTAGTAGAAACTACTGGACATTTTACCAAAGTGATTGCACCATATTACAACATAGTAACGATATATTAGATTTCTAGTTGCTCTGTAGCTCCACCAGCCTTTCATGTTGTAAATATTTTTCCACTTTTTCCAACCTGGTGTGTATGTAGTATTGGCAAGTTTTAAGTTGCTATTTGCTGAGGACTGATGATGTTGAACTTTTTTCCCATGTGCTAAGTTTTTAAAATGTCTTTTCAAACTCTTCAACCGATTTTAAAAGTTGAGTTAGTTTTCTTTTATTACTGAGTTTTGAGTGCTCTCTCTATACTCTGGAAACAAGTGGTTTTTCAGATATATATTTTGTGAGCATTTCTTCAGTCTTCTCACCACATTTTAAAGACCGCCATCATATCCTACATCTTTTTTTTCCCCCCTCTCTCTCTCCAACAGTGTTTGCTACTTTTCTGGGTCTGTTGTACATGTATGCTCGTCACCAGTACTTTTTTGGATATTCAGAAGCTGCTAAAAAGAGGTAAGAAGAACCTAACAATTGTGTCGTTAGACAAAAGTAGCAGAATGGAGCCATGATTAGCTTCCTGGTTGAAGTCTCGACTGAAGTTGCTTGGTGCCATCGAGTCGATTATGACTCATAACCACCCTGTGACCCATTGATCTGAGCCCTGCCCTACCTTGTGCCATTCTTACAATTTTCAACACCCTCAAGTCCATACTCTTAAGGGTGTCTGGACTGGGGGGCAGTAGATATTCACAACATCACCTGTAATGGATGCACAATGATCTGTGTTGCCTAAGGTCATAAACAATTACGAGTTGATGGAAAAACACAAATATAAAATCATGCATTGAGTGTACACTGCTTTGACCCCTATGCTTTAAATCCTTGCAGAAAATTTGCACTCTTTCCACAGAGTTGCTGAGCAAATAATCCTGCCCAGTTTTGATAATCTTTGAATGGTAAAGAAGCCAATTAGTCTCTCTGGTTAGACAACCCTTATAGTTTAAGTGGTGAATCAAATGTTTCAAATGACAAGATCATGCAAGCATAGGGCAGCATCAGCAATGAACAGCTTTGCAATGACTTGCCGTCTTTATTACTACACTCCATTCTCAGTTCTCCTCCCTTTATTATCTGCAGGTTGACTGGTTTCCGGTTGAGTCTGGGGATTTTGACCTTGTTGGCTGTTCTAGCCACCCTGGGCATTGCAAACAGCTTTCTGGATGAATACTTGGACCTCAATATTACAAAGAAACTGAGGCGTCACCTCTAACCTTTCCTCTTCCCTTCCCCTTAATTCACACTGAAGCTGTTTTCACCCTAAAGATAATATGGTATCAACTAGACACACTTTAAAAATAAGTCTTATTGTGAAAAACTGTGTATCACTTTAAGAACTTTGTTTATACACCAATACAAAATAAAAGAAAATTTTAAATAAAGGTCTTATTTTGTTTTCTTTGAAATGAGTTTTGCAAAAATACCTGCTTCAGAGAATGCATTTACAAGCTGAATATTGTTTTGGAGGGATATTTTCACATCAACATTTGTGTGGTGACTCTGGCTTTAGAGGTACATGCGGAGATTTCTCACTACTGGTGTCTGTTTGGACAAAGAAGCTTGGCTATAGACCACACTTTCTGTGGACCTCACAAAACTTGCCTTTGAGAATCACTTCTCCCTTGGAGGAAAGTTCCAGGCAGATAGTGATAAATAGCCAAGCGCTTTCCATTCCTTGTAGGAAAACAACAGATTGTTGGCAATTGAAGAAGGAATTTGAAGACAGAAAGAAGCCAGGGAAGAGAAGTGAAGAAAATTACCAACTAACATAAACCTGTTTATAAAGTGGTTTCTTTGAGGAGAGCTCTGGTGGCCTAGTGGTAAGAAGCTGCATTGTAAACGCAGTTCAAATCCACCAGATCCTCTGCTGGGGAAGGGAGGACAATCTCGTTCTGTCTCAGTCAGATCTGATTTAACAGTACACACACACAAAATAAGGGGGGGGTGGGAAAGAAAGTTGTATTTTTAAAAAAAAATGAGGGGTAGTGGAGATATAGAATTTTCAAGAAACACCTCAGAGACTAGGGCTTAATGAATAGTTTTCTTCTGAGAAAGGGAAGGAGGGGTGGCTTTATTACTTTAGCCAAGTCTCAGAACCAGTTCTGTGTCACTGGGATGTGGAGGCTACTCTGGCCCAGATATTCAATTATCCTCCGGCACAATAGAGGTTACTTTTCTTTCATTTATTAATCTGTAAAATGTTATAAATCTCTTTCTAGTTTTATCCAAAAGTGACTGGAATAGCACATCAGCAGAGAACTGCCAGAAGTCCAGGCTAGGTTTAGAAGGGGTCATGGTACTCGAGATATCATGGCTAATGTTAGATGGATCTTGGCTGAAAGCAGGGAGTACCAGAGGAATGTCTATCTGTGTTTCATTGATTATGCAAAGGCGTTTGACTGTGTGGATCACAACAAACTGTGGCTGACTCTGAGAGGAATGGGAATCCCAGCACACTTGATTGTGCTAATGTGAAACCTATACTTGGACCAGGAGACCATCATCAAAACAGAGCAAGGAAACATTGCATGGTTCAAAATTAGGAAAGGTGTATGCCAGGGATGTGTCCTGTTTCCATACCTTTTCAATCTATATCCAGAACAGATTATACAGGAGGCTGAGCTCTATGAGGAGAAATGTGGCATCAGGATTGGAGGAAGATTCATCAACATCCTGTGTTATGCAGATGACACAACCCTGCTTGCGGAAAGTGAGGAGGACCTGAAGAGCTTGCTGCAGAAGGTCAAGGACTGCAAACTTCAATATGGATTGAGGCTCAATATCAAGAAAACAAAGATTCTCACCACTGGGCCAATTGGCAGCATCAGGATGGATAGTGAAGAGATTGAGATTATTAACAACTTTACTTTGCTTGGCTCCACAATCAACAGTTTTGTTACCAGCTGCCAGGAAATTAAAAGACACATTGCGATGGGAAAGTCTGACTTCTCCAAAGTACTGGAGAGCAATGAGGTCATTCTGGAGACTAAGGTGTGCCTGATACAGGCAATGATCTTTGCAATCACTTGCTATGTGTCAGAGAGCTGGACAATGACTAGGGAGGATAGAAGAATTGATGCCTTTGAGATGTGGTGCTGGAGAAGAGTATTGAGGGTACCACGGACTGCTAGGAAAACAAACAGATTCATCCTGGAAAGGGTTAAACCAGGAGACTCCTTGGAGGCAAGGATTCTGAGGTTCCATCTAACATACTTTGGACATGTTTTTAAGGAGGGACCAGTCCTTGGAGAGGGACATCATGCTTGGTAGGGTGGAGGGACAGCACAGGAGGGGAAGGCCCTCTATGAGGTGGATTGATTCAGTGACTGGGGTAATCGGGATGGGTGTATCAGAGACAGTGCAATTGGCACAGGACAGAGCAGAGTTTAGAGCTGTTGTACATAGGGTAGCTATGTGTCACTGGTGACTCAATGGACCATAACAACAACAACAATGTCTTCAAGAAAAACTTCTGTTTCCTGTGGAAGATTAAAGAATACAGCCTTCAATATGGATTACATCTCAGTGTCAAGAAAACAAAAATTCTCATCACTGGACCAATAGGCAACATCATGATAGATGCAGGAAAGATTGAAGTTGTTAATTACTTCATTTTATTTGGATTCAGACATTCCTCTAGGTGTATAGCCCTGGTGTACAAGTTGCCCTACAGCGGTAACTTGTGGTTGCTGTGAGGCTGAACACTGTGACACTGATGTGTCGAATGCATTAATGTCTGGTTACCCAATGCGGACAGAGAGTGGGGTGGGGCTCCTCGATTAAAACAAGCTCAGAAGGAGAAGTGGCATCCACTTCCATAATAGCTTCCCTCCGGAAAACCTATGAACCTGGAGAAAGGATGACAGACACCCAAGCGTTGAGGACTGTCCTTCATAGGGTCGCTATGAGTCACCTACGACTCAACGGCACTTAACAGCAACAATAATACCCTTAGTATGAGCAGTCAGGAGATCAGGAGATGCACTGTGAAAGCCTGCAGTCAGGGACCTTTCCAAATTTTTGAGCGCTGATAACGGTTTGAGGAATAATGTGTACCTGATTCAGGCCCTTGTCTTTTTCATCTTGCTATGCATCTGAGAGCAGGACAATGAATAAGGATAACAGAAGAAGAATTCATGCTTTTGAGTTGTGGTGTTGAAGAGTACTTGATATCTCACGGACTGCCAAGAGAAGATATTTCTCAGAGAAAGTGCAGCTAGATTGCTTCTTGGAGGCAAAAAGAACAAAACTTTGTCTCACCTGCTTTGGGTATGTTACTAGGAGGGGCTATTCCTTGCAGAAGGACTTAGGAAGGTGAAATGTTGATAAAAATATGAAGACCCTCAACCAGATAGATTGATTGCAGCAACGGGCTTTGATAAGTCAGATATTGTGACAATGGCACAGGATAGGACAGGTTCCTAGGGTAATTATGGCTCATACTCGACTAGATGGCAGCTAACAACAAATCTTCAAGAAGGACGCTCTGTTGGCTGAGCAGTAAGGAGTTGGATTGACAGCCCAAAGATGCAGTTCAAATCCACCAACTGCTCTGAGGGAGAAAGAGGGACAACCTCTTGCCATGTGATTGACATTTTCTGAAAACTCACTGGCGAGCCACTTAAGGAGCAGTTCTGCCTCCCTGGCAATGAGTGTGAGCATTTTTTTGAGTCTTCAAGGAGGGAGCTCTAGTGTTGTATTTTGTAGGGAGTTGTGTCGCGTGTCTGGCAGTTTGAATCCACCAGCGGCTTTGAGAGAGCAGTGGGAGCAGTTTCCTCCTATGTATTTTATAGGTTCTGAAAACCCCTAGAGGGTCAGCTATGAGTTGATTCTGGCTTGACAGCAATGAGGGGGTTTGAGAGCCTTCAAGGACCTCAGGGAGATGGAATGATGGGTAGGTGTAACACATTTTAATATCAGAAGAAAGAGCTCACTGTCAATACTTTCAAAGGAAATGAAACCACCTTAAATCTTGTGTGGGCATCTTCAAGAGGCTCTTAGGACTTGTCATTTTCACAGCCACAAAGGCAGTTACAAAGGCTATGAAAACAGAAAATGAGAGCCCAAGTGTTTCCAGACAGCTGAGGAGAAGCTCTAACAACCACAGACATTTTAAATAGCCCAACTGAAAATCCCAAAGTACCACAGAACCAGGGCCTGGAGATAGGTGGGATCTAGTTCAGATTTCCTTCTTACCAAAAATGAGAAAACTGAAGAGCAAAGAAGAGAAAATAATTTAAAGAAAATAAGAAAGTAAAACCAAAACAGCACCCAAAACCAAAACACCTGGTTATACAAATAGGAAAAACTCTCTTAGTGCCTTAGTGCTACCAGTGAAGCTCGTTCAAGCCCAGCCAGTGACATCTTGGGACAGAGACTCCACAATGTGTTGCAGTAAAGAGGAAGCTTAGAGACCCCTCCGGGGCCATTATCTCCTGACACACGGGGCAGCTATGTGTTGGAATCGACACAATGGCATCCAACAACAACGTCTAGCGAGCTAAGCAGGGACTGCTCCCTTCACAAAGGCTTTTCCTCATCCACTTCTTGCAAAGGAATTCGGGATTAGAATTAAAAGAAGAAAATTAATAAGGAAAAATGTCAGATCACTTTTATCCTGCCTTCTTCCTCCATGATGAGCATAGTAACAAATGGAGGAGTCATGTATGTAAAGCTTCTGAATGTTAATCTCTCAGTGGGAGACCATGGTGGTGCAGAGGGTTCACATGCTAAGTGGTTAACTGAAGGGGTCGGGGTGAGGTGTTGACTCACAGGCACTTCAGAAGAAAGGCCTGGCTATTGACTTCCAGAAAACGAGCCACTGAAAACCGTGAAGCATGGGTCTACCCTGAGGTGGGTGTGGCACGAGTCAAAACCAACTCAATGTCAGTTTAAAAAGAAAAATCTGTCAAGAATGAAATCTCTTTTGCACCAGATCAGATGCCCTATGAAACTCTAGTAGTGACTTCCTACATGGTGTTGGGTGTTGAGTGCAAAAGACAGTTTTAATTGCAAAAAAGTGTTCCATCCACTCAGTGAATAAAAAATTTTAGTATACATGAAAAAAGATATTATTTTAATTAATCAAAGTTGGTCATTCTGGCCAAAAGAACAAAACAGATATGTGTTGGAGAGGATGCAGCTGGAGTGCTCTTTGGAGTAAAGAATAAGCCTTCGCTTCATATACTTTAGGCATGTTGCTAGAAGGGGCTA